TGAACCTGATATCCCGAACCACGGAGGCAGATGATAAGGTCTTGTCTTTTGTTGATTTTCCGGGAAAGAGCGATTCGGGCCAGCAACACATTTCCTACGCTGTTCCTTGGCCCATTTCCTCCAACAATCAATAAAGAAGAGGAAACCCCACCACACCTTCTGCCAGCGTGTGGTGCTGCACTACTCTGCAGGAGAAAATGTTTTGTGCCAAAGAATATAACTAGGAATAAACAAGCTCTTAAAGGCCGAGGCATAACATAACCCCTATAATCTTCATCAATCGTCCAATCAAATCGTTAGTTAGTCGTTTAAGTACTCTGGGAATGAAATTCTTCATCCTATAGGTTGGGGTGATCAAAGTAGCAGAACGAGGGTCGTTTCTTCTACGGATATTGCATTTTTTCGAATAGAAAAAAAATTTAATTTCCCTTCGAAACGACCAATAAAATCCTTTCCTGATAGATCACGCTATAACCAGATTTGGCCTGTAGGCAAGGTGTAATTATAACGACAGTAAAATTGTATACCAGCTTCGAGAAAAACTATCTCAATCTCTAAATCACATCTTGAATAATGAATCTTATCAATCGAGAGGGTTTTTTTCCGTAGAAGAAATATTTGTGCACAGGACGTCGAGTAATAGTCGGCCTCAGAATTAACCATCACTAAACTGGTGGTGAAAAAGCAGTCGAGATTATAATTGCGATCAATCAAAGCCAGCATAAGTGAATATATTACTAAAATATAAATTACAAAACATTATTTTCTTCATCTACTGATAAACCGAATCAGGAAATCAGTAAAGTATACAATTTCAAGAACTATTCAGTGAGTGCCTGATTAACCTTCATGAAAACAAGGAATATATTCGAGAATAATTGGCCCAACAGATTATTATTCATAAATTAATCGCCTGTGTGGTTTCTCACCACTTTGAACCTATAATAAAACGGCCATACCGCTTTGCTTTCAAAACATTTCAAAAATTGAAAATCTTTATTCAAAAATATTTACTGCAGTTTACACATACATAGCAGTGCCAGTTTATATTATAACAAATGTAAGAAAAACCCTAAGCTGTAGGAGTGGTATAAACTAATGACCTCTTCACTCTCTTATGCCTGTACACAAAGTCCTAGTTATAGGCACCATTAGTCAAACTAATTGTTTAATGCATAACACACACCGTTCAAATAAATTCTTGGTGAGGCGTTTTATGTGGTGTACAACGTAATCCATGTCTGTGTTAATGTGCACGTCTAGAATGCGGGTGTAGTGTGGAGATGATGACCAACCGTAAAACCTTAATTTTGGCTTCAAACAGCCTGGGGCAGTTTCAGGCTATTTTGAACAACACGGTGTGTTTTGAACCTAAGGTCAGACAGCCAAAGGGTTTTTAGGGTTCTAAAACCATTGGGGCAAAATGTCAAAAACATAAACATAACAGTCCCAACAGAAAGGGGTTCTGACTAATGAACAATGAGCCAAACTGAACACATATATGCCCAGAGCCTATAATTGGGATAACAAGTCCATATCAGAATGAGTCAACACAAAGACGAACTGCAGGGGTACCAGACACGGTAAACTCATGGGTTAAAGCAACCTCATGAAAACTCAAACACATTGGGATCGTTACACAGGGAAATTCTGGGTAGTGATAGAGCTTCCGGTCAGAGAAAACAGCTACACAACATAGCTATAATCAATCTCATTTGTAGGTTATGGAATGAAGGTGAGGAACTGTCGCCCTATATCTTCGAATGCTCAATAGAGACATAACCTAGGGTCGTTTTTGTAGTTCTGTCCTAAGTTGTCTACTGAGTAATAATAAATTTAAAAATAAATACTGTTAAACCGTTAAATTTTCTTCGCTAGATTTGTAATTTTATAGGAGAAATGTTCGCTGCGCCGAGACAATAATTGGTAGCTAATTAACTTAGAACAAGGTTAATTGGAGCTAAATAAATGGCAACATGTATATACCAGCCACATATTTTATGTTATTTATAACTTCTCGCATTCGCCATGAAGAGATGTGTTTCTAAAAGAAGGATATAACTAATACTAAAACTACTATAACTAATAATAAAAATAATACTTCACCTATCATACATTCTAAATCTACAAATAAAATAGCAACAAGGAATAAACCAATATATTATTTATGAATGATGGAAATATTACTTAAAAAAGGTAAGGATGGTATAATGACAAGGCTGTTTATTGTCTTACGTCAAGAGCACTGTCAATAAATGACCCTCGTAGAATCTGTAGTAGGAGTGAGGTAATGCAGAATACCATTTCCTATCGATTTTGTTTGTACTGTATAAAAACATTTATTTATAACATTAAATGTCTTGAAATGTTTAGGTCTTTTATTACTGATTTTAGGGATATATAAAAGCTCACAACTGTTGGCATTCCGGTGTCAGACAGATTTATCAGTTCAGCCACCGAGGTTGAGCACCTCGACAGCTAGGACAACTATCTTCCATTCAAACTCTCACTTTCTTTTAATCACATTTTTTCTTATTTACAAACTAATACCTTACTCAGTGAATATTCCTCAAACGCCCTGTACACGTATTAATAACCTAATTGAGGGTAGGTAGTAGGTAGGGTGCTTTCCCTATTCCGCCATCGGTCTACCCACACTACAAATTCACGCTAATAAGTACATTCATTCTCAACATTCCCTATGGGTCCCAAACCTATCAATACTATGTACAATAAAACAACCCTGTTTCCTCCTAGGATAAGAATCAATCATCATATCAAGAGGGGCTCACAGGACTCAAGGAATCACAATCTACAATTAGGTGAGGCACATCGAGCTACCTTAACAGAAATTCACGCTAATAAATAAATTCACTCTCATACACAAAAAAAGAACGCAAAACAAGATAGACCCTATAAATTATTCAATAAAACAGTCCGGATTCCTTCAAAAATATGACAAACAACAAAACATCCTTTGGATTTTTACACAAAAGGTACAATAATGCAAAGTACATTTTCACCGTATTTTCCATGTATTTAAACATTTCTAATGTATGAATTACATTAAATGCTTGATTATAAATCGAACTAAATTATTGGATTAAAAATTATTGCCTCATTATAACTACGAATATGGAGTTTTTGATATACACATCTTATGTTGGAACAATAAGAGACTGAAGGGACATGAAACAAGACAACCTAAACGATTTTATTTGTATTTACGTTTTCATGTAAAATTCATCAGTGTTTCTAAGCCTATAAGCAACAGTTGGAGAAAGATGCAGTAACAATCTATCATCGTTGACAAAGCTGTCATTTTTCTCGTGGTTCAGTACCCCTTTCGTCCAGTTTTCTGTTATTCAGCAAGACGGATACCAAATTCTAGCCTCCGGTCGTATATTAATCCTATAAACCTGTGTTTATGCAAATATAATAATCGCCCAATCACGAACGCCAAGGTCTAAAGGGGGCTCAACGCTGCCTCTGCAACCGTTTTTCGATGCAGTAGGAATATTTAGTGGGCCGAATCGCTCAAAATTCCGTCGAAATTCGACTCGGTAGTTGAGCTCCTTCTTGTACGAGCCCACAAAAAATTTGAATTACAAAATAAACCAAACCGCTACTGATTTTACGCCCTATGACGCCGCGGCAAAAACCCGGCTCGGAAAACATAATAAAACTAGTTATATATCGAAATATATGTTAAATACGTAATTAAACGATAAAAAATAGCACTGAAGCATTTTTTGCGAAGCTGTGGTCAAACCAAATTCAAGACGTTACTCAGGTCGGAGGATTTTCAACAAAACTATGGTCAAATACCAATAACTATACCTTAAGGAACATCGACTACTCTGGGATGGTGTGAATATAATTTATTAGCGTGAATGGAGGGGCTTATCCCCAATTAACCGCTTGGGCTCCTTCTTGGTCCCTCTTCTTTCGCCCAATATTGAGCTCTACCAGGATCGTGTTCTTTCTTTATTGTTTTAATCTTATTCGTTAGTCATAACGGTCCGACCTTCCCATCCGAGGCGTTTGCCTCGGTTATCCCCAATGAACCCGAGCAATATCGAGTACTCTGGGGTAATCTGAACGAAGTCTGGTGTGTGAATGTAATTTATTGGCGTGAGTGGAGGAGGATATCTCCAATTACCCCGAGGAATATCGAGTGCTCTGGAGTGGTGTGAATGGTAATCAGATTTCATGTTTTTTATCTTGCTACTGTGTATTTTCTTTTGTTGTTTACGCTATTTTCTCCTGAACGGACCAACCCTTGATCTTCACATAGGCTAGCAGTAGAATAAAGAAAAGAGAGAGTTGGTTACCGTTATATCATAAAACATTCTAATTATTTATTAATTAGCTAAACTAGTTTTCAATATAATGTAGAGGCTGAGATGAAAAATTAGTGTCACAAGGGCGACTCGTACCCACGACCCTGGATCAGTACGCCGACGCTTCTACCTCTTGAGCTGCGTGACTTCAGTCCCCAAGGCACCAACTCCTCATCTCAACCGACTATTATTTCAATTTTCCCTTTGCATTTCTATCACCTCAGAAGATCCCCAGTTTACTGAGAAAAATCTCTTCTTAATCTTCTACCCCTGGCCGGGGGTATACTAAAGTTGAACTGGACTTGATATTTTGATCATATCTTTTGTTGGAATCATGGGTATCTTATCATTTAGGAGGAATTTTTCGTTTCAGTTGAAATATTAAGACCTATTGGGAATAATTCCTATTTTGTGAAACATCTAATATAGTTATTTATAAGAATGACATTTCCCGGTCCAAAGCCTAGAGATCTTTCATTATTCTATAGAATTTGGCATTTTAACCATAGTATTTTTTTGCGAGGCGTGAACTGGCCGAAACTATACTCGAAACATGAAAGATAAACTCGTCTAGGCGTTGTCCAGCGTCGGACGCACAATGGGAAAAATGTCAAGCAAGTACAGCGATAAGAGGCCGTTATCAGGCCAAAAGCTTACCTTATCCGACGATTTCGAGCCTCTGGATGTTAGTTAGCCTGTAACAAATATTATTTAAATTAGATGTTGTAATAACAATAGATAAAAATTTATAAAAACAACCTTTCCACAAGGGGTCGTATACTTTAATTCATCATGAACTAAGAAGTTGAACAGTAAAAACTCAACAGAAACATGACAGCAGTTTGATTAAAAACGATCATATCTGCCCTACACATTACAATACAATGTCTGCGAGAGAAGGCGGACCAGAAGTCGCCTACACAGATAATTCAGATTTTAACGAAATATTCTAACTGCAGACGTTAAACAAATTACAATTGTATGGTATTTTATCACTTGAGTAATTATTACTTGGCAAAGGAAGAATGAAATAACGGCCATGATAGGCATTAGTGTCATTATTTTCAATCATGTTTCAATCGGTCATAAGTGATCAATTTTTATCAAATTTCAGTATTGGAATCAAAACTACTTATGTTCAGCTCGCACAAATATAGCACTGAGAATAAAATATTAACTTGAAAACCAAAATGATAGCGCGCGAAACGAGTTGCTTAACATGAAACTTTCACCTTATTTCTACAAGCTTAAGTACAAATTTATTCCGTTCGGCACTATTACGTAGGTCATAGATTTCAAAAAAGAACTGGAAAAAGATTTTTTAAGTAGCTAGTGCATTCCACCAGTGTTTGAAGCAGCAAAGAATTTAACCCTCCTAGTGTGGGACTCGCGACCTAATCAAAAGAATTAACTCATTTACTTTTGATTTTGATTTTCGTCGTAACCAGTTAGTTCGATGTATGATCAGTAATAAAAAAATCAATTTTTAAAAAATCATTCCATTTTATTCGGGTTTGTTACTATTTGTAGGGAGAGGACGTCACAGGTGTGACTAGGTTACCACGCGTTCTTCCCAATCTTATAGCTAAGGTAATTGTTTGGTTAGAGATTAAGATTGCATATGTATAAATTATTAAGAATCACCAATTCCTGTTTTTCTTGTAATGTCAATTTATATGTGTTTGTGTTGTGTCTGTGTTGACTTTATGTTCATTTACTAGAATGAAAGTAATTTATTAGCATGAAAGGAAGGGGTAACTTAACCCTGCCCGGAGGAATATCGAGAACTCTGGGTTGAGTGTGTGACGTCTGAGAGTAAAGTAAGTTATTAGCGAGAGTGGAGGGGTTCAACCCCCCCCACCGAGGAATATCGAGTACTCTGGGGGAGTGGATGTGACCAGACTTCTATGTTTCTATCGAGTGTTGTGTTAATTTATTGTAATGAATGTGATTTATTAGCGTGAAAGGAAGGGGTTGCTTATAACCCCGCCCCGAGGAATATCGAGTACTATGTGGTGAGTGTATGTCGTCTGGAGAGTAAAACTAAGTTATCAACGAGATCGGAGTGGGTTCAACCCCGCCCCTAGGATTATCGAGTACTCTGGAAGGGTGAATGTGACCAGACATCCATGTTTGTGATGATGTATATACATGTATTGTATGCTTTCTTTCTATTCTGTATTTGACAACCTGGGTACAAACGAGGGGCTAGCATTCTAGGATATCAACGTAGTATATATTTGAAAACAGAGAGTCAGTGATCAGATCGAGACGCTCAAATGGCTGCAGTTTAAAACAAAAGAAGAGAAAAAGAAGGAAAACACGCAGAGGGTAGTACCGTCGACAATATGAAAGTTATAGAAATTAAAAGAAATCTAGGGAGACGTTTGTTGAAAGATGTGATACAGAATCGATAATACATGTAACTTAAAAACATATCTCAATAAATTAAGTATTTTTATGGAGAAATTCTGTGATACTGGGATTGAACTACTTTTTAAAAATTAGCGCCAAACACATGTATATATTGATTTATCGCTTACTAAATACCAAAGAATAAAACAAAGAAAATACAAATGAACAACAAGCAACAAGCGATTGTTCCAAATAGTGCTATTTATAATGGATTCCGTAACTATTGTAAATGAGAATGAAGAATGATCGAGTTGATAAATACAACATGAAGGTTACCTCCTTTACAAAATTCCATCTAGTCACAGTTCGATTTACTATCAATAATTAATAATCAGATTTATTATTTTGACTATTTATTTATTAAGTTATTTATTTGTTAAATAGTAAAAACTTAATATTGCATAAAGTAAGAACATAAGACTCATGTGAGCTTAGCGGACGTCAAAAACTACATGAAGAACCTTTGTTGGAAAGACTGGCAGAACCGCTGGGGAGAATGACCGACAGACTAAAAGAGATAAAATCAGTCAAACCGTGGGCCATGGAGAGTATGAACAAAACAGAGAGAATAGTTTGGGCTCGACTAAGAATATGCCACACCAGACTGGCGCATGGTCATCTCTTGGCGAAGAAAATACCACGGATATGCCACCTGTGCGCCGCACAAATAACTGTTAGACATATACTAACCGAACGCGAACTATATTGGCGCCGCAGAGAACAAAATGTGGCCTCTCCTCGAGTCTGAAAGAGGTTTTACAACACAGCAATGATGGCAGCAAAAAATTGACGGAATATCTTAAGCAAACAGATGCATATGGTCGCCTCTGATGTTTTTTCAAGCCTGGTTTTTCCCTTTCTGCAGTAAGTGTTTTTATTGGCACGAATGTGTGTGTGTATGGGTGGGTAGTGGACGGAATATCGAGTACCCCACGGACCCACTGAACTAGGTTAGTTTTCTCTTTGCGGGTTTTGTGTACAATGAATGTATTTATTGCGCGAAAGTCAGTGCGAATGGATGGGTAGTGCAGGAATATCGAGAACTCCACAGAACCACCGACTTAGGTTAGTATTAGACTAGGTGTTTCTTGTAGAGTGAATGGGCGGAGGCACTGTCGTAATATTAAATGCGCCAGTGGCTCCGCATTCTTAGCTGTACATATAGAATGAGTGGTTACCGCTTGAATGAATGTATTTATTAGTGTGATACTAGTGTATGCGTGGGTGGAATATCAAGTACACCATAAGCCCACCAATCTAGGTTAGTATTTTAGACTCATTGTGCAAACGTAAATTTTAATTGTACAAGTATGAATGTATTTATTAGCGTGAATGAGGGCAGGTTTTAAGCGGAATATCGAGTACTCTGAAACCCGCACATTAGGCTAGGTAATGACTGAATGTTTGTGTATGAGAGAGTTTTAGATCCTTTTCACCATGAGTGGAGGGGCTAAAAATGTAAAAATAATGTCCCAGAAACGTTACCAGAAAGATCGCCATACTTCCTACAGGACAGCTATCTTATATTTGTAAAAAGAGAAAAATAAATAAATAAAAAATGAATAAAATAAATGAAATAAATGAATAATAAATAAAAAGTTCATAACAAACATTGTTTTATTGTGAGTACGTAGAGCACTGAGGAAGGCGTAATAAAAAGCCGAAAACTTGGCAAAAAAAGATACTGCTTCATTTTGGATCACATCCCTGATCCCAATCATCAATTGTTAATCATCGCTGGTCGATAATTCAACCATGTAAGTTAGACGAAATTTAACTATGTTTATGAATATTATGCCAATAGTAGACAGAGACATAATCAAAAAAATATTGCTAATTTATCGGTTTCAGTTCCATTCTGTACTAACTACTTTTTTCTTTTTTGAATTAGTAATGGAACTGAAAGCCGGAAGAAGGTGGGTTCGAATTCCATCCGTGTATTTTTATCTCAAATATCGTGTTCAAGTATACATTCGTTTAATTCCTCGTTTTTCTAATTGAAATTTATAATTAGTAAAAACAGAAAAAATTGAACAGTTCGTTATTACTTTCCTATAACAATCCTGTAATTCAGATAAACAAACCTTAACACTGGCACTGGCCGAGTCTACCAAAATCGAAAACCCCGCCAAACTTACTGCATGGAATTAAGGGCAAGGTAATTTTTATAACGCGAGTGGTGAGCGTGAAAAACAGGTGATTCATTTCACTAAGTGACCGGTTCGGATCCGATCATTAAGAAGGGCGGTCTTTCCTATTTAACGCCTTCTCGTGTTAACAGATCTAGAGAAGAGGTCGCTCTTTCTGAGAAGCGGATTCGGATTCCCCTTGAACAGAAGGGCCGGATTCGAATCCCACAATTAAATATTTTCGCTGGAATTGACCGTTTGACATAGAGCCGCAGGTTGCACATACGAGACAACGGACGTTCTACCTGCAACCTAGGATCTTATTGTATGACTTGTTTCTTAAGCTCAAAAAAATATATACGCATTTATTGACCGAATCTGTTAGCCTTTTTTCTTTTAGAAACACCATTAATTAAGTTTTATTGAAGTCCTTGTAATTCTAAAATATCACTTTTGACAAAAGTACTGCTACCTTGATCGTACCTACTCGTCCTCATCACCTATTTTTACGCATATAAAATATTTTCTAAATTTGCTGCACTCAGAAATCATAACGGGAATAATGGAACGATACGAGGTAACATGAACGAAATAATTCAACGTCAATACTTGAATAAAGCAATACTTAATTTTTGCAGAAAAAAAATCTGTAAATCAGTTTTCCCTGAATGTGAATGTAAATTTTTAAAGAGCCATTTCTTAACAAAGGGTTATCGACAATCAACATAATATTAAAGCGTGATTGAAGTAACTTGCGACATCTTGATGAAACCAATAAGTTCAGAGAGAGCGGATATGCCGAGTATGCAATATGCATATGGAATATTAATGAAATTAGACTGGAGAGAGTTCACGATTTTCCTTCGGGAAACTCTTGATTTGTGGCCGGGTCGGTTTTGAGTCGATTTAGTTCGTAAGGGCGATATGAGAACGATATGAGAAATGGGTCGCCACGTTTCGCGACAGCTGCCCCTAACAATGTTGATATGTTCCGTCACACTCCATTACAGTTCTCTGTTTACTAGATATTGTTTAATAAATGTCCACGGGAATGTTTTTTCGTGTAAACTTTAAAACTTTAGTGTACCAAAATAGCGAGCAACTTTTTATCGTAGGCGCGTTTATGTCGTGACCTCTTCACGTGGTATTAG